TAAAGAATGTCAGTGCTAATCTCGATCAAAATCTATTTATGGAGAAGGCACAGGCCCTAAGGGCTATGAGCTACCGTTGTGCACCTCAGACAGCAGGCAGGGCCTCCAGAGACTCTGGAATAGGGATCTAGCCAAAAACTCATTCTACACTCTATCCACTGTAGAAATGGGTCTTCTAATATTCTTTCAGAATTAATTCTCATTGGCTCAAGGACAGGGCAGAGCAGAGCTATAAGTGAAAAGTCTAAAGACTCTCATGTTCTGATGCTAGGCAGAGTTGTAAGCAAGCAGGGGCAGAATTAAAAAAAAAAAAAAAACAACTAACTGGAAATCAGCATCTAGTGAAAAGGAACGTTAGATATAGTCATAATTGAATTGATAAATAAAATATTTATTTCCATTTACATTTTCCTTAGACATCGTTGTTGTTAGGTGCTGTTGAGTAGGTTATGGCCCATAGTGACCCTATGTACAACAGAATGAAAGGCTGTGCAGTCCCGTACCATCTTCACAAGAGTTGCTATATTTGAGCCCATTGTGTCAATCCATCTCATTGAGGGTCTTCCTCTTTTTCACTGCCCCCCCCCTTTTTTTTTACGAAGCATGATGTCCTTCTCGAGGGACTGGTCACTCCTGATAACACATTCAAACTATGTGAGACAAAATCTTACCATCCTTGCTTCTACGGAGCATTCTGGTTGGACTTCTTCCAAGATAGATTTGTTTGTTCTTCTGGTAACCCACAGTATATTCAATATTCTTCTCCAGCAGCATAATTCTAATGCTTCAACTCTTCTTTGTTGTTTATTATCCAACTTTCACATGCATATGCGATATTAGATTAAGAAATACCTGGTAGCATAGTGGCTAAGGCACTTGACTGCTAACCAGAAGGCTGGCGGTTCAAACCCACCAGCCACTCCTCAGAAGGAAGGTTGGGCAATCCTACTTCCGTAGTGATACTGCCTCGGAAACCCAAGGAGGGGTCGCTATGAGTCAGGGCTGACTCGACGGCACATAACAACAACAACAACATGAGAGCTCTGGTGGCATAGTGCCTAAGCCACTTGACTGCTAACCAGAAGGTTGGCAGTTCAAATCCAGCCACCACTCCTTGGAAGGAAGATTGGGCGATCTACTTCCATAGTAGTAGTTTCAGCACCTCAGAAACCCAAGGAGGGGTCGCTATGAGTTGGAGATGACTCGATGGCACACGACAACAACATATATTCTTATTTAAATGTTTAGTTTAATAAATACTTCACTTCTCTTTGACTTCACAGACTCTACTTTGGTTCAAAGTATTTTTTTCTGTAGTTATCTGCCTCCCAGCTGGTTTCTCTGTCCCACTATTTACCCCCAGCAATAAAGATCAAGGGTGTGTCATTTGAATTGAAGTCTAAAGGGGCCCATTGCCATGATTATCTTATTTGTTTGTATGCATTTGCCAAGGAAAGGAAACATTTAGAGAATTCTTGGTTGCTTGTATTATTCTCCTCAACCCATTTAAGTATAGATTCTTCCTTAGCAATTACTCTTAGACCCATCTTTCCTCTTTTCCATCTCTACACTTTCTGGTTCAGGCCCTTAACAGATCCTGCTTGAAGTATTACAATAACCTTCTCCTGTTTGCTTACCTCTTGGTCCTCTCCTCATCACCTAAGTCCATTCCACATAAAATCATCATAAAATATCACTTTGAACACAATACCATTTTTTTTCCCGTTAACTTTCAATAGCTCCTGACTGCTTATAGCAACAAATTCAAACACTCTCAACCTAATGTTTACGGAATCTGGCCTCCTCTAACATTTTCAATCTCAGTCTTCCAACTTCTTAAATCCTCAAACTCATTGAAGTGATTTCAGGCATTGCTCTACACTTGGTTTCCACATAGTCTTGTGCTTCCCACCACTGTACTTTTATTCATACCAGTTCCTTTCCTTACCCTTCACCTCCTCTAGGCCCCCTTGTCCTTAAAAAAAAAAAAAAAAAAAACAAACCCACTGCCATCAAGTCCATTCCAACCCACTGGGTTTCTGAGGCGGTAAATCTTTACGGAAGTAGAGTGCCCTGTCTCCCTTCTGCAGAATGGCTGGTGGATTTGAACTGCCAACCCTCTAGTTAGCAGTCAAATGCCTTAGGCACTGCACAACCAGAGCTCCTGACTGTCCTTTAAGAACAGGTCAAATCCACATGCTTTTGCTCTTGCTTTCCTCCCTAGCCTGGCATGTTTTCTCTGCCTACCCATGTGCCATGCATTTTTCAAAGCCAAACATAATTTATATTTGATGTTTTCCTAATCACACTGACATTCTTTCCTTCATGAAACGCTACCGTGGAGCCATTAGGTATTTGGGCACTGTCTGAGTTCTGGGGATCATGGTTGAATAATGCACAGTTCCTAACTTCCAGGATCCCACTTTAAGGTCCTATTGCTGTTATTGCCCAAAGAGTTACCTATTAACAATATGATGTCTTAGGAAATGTCTTTGTGTTGAACTGCCAATTTAATTTCTGTGATTTAACTTTCTTTTTAAGGAGCCCTGGCTGCACAGTAGTTAAGTACTCAACTGCTAACCAAAAAGTCAGTGGTTTGAACTCACCAGCCACTCTGCAGAAGATGTGGCAGTCTGCTCCTGTAAGATTATACCCTGGGAAACGATATAGGGCAATCCTACTTGCCTTACAGGATTACTACAATTTGTAATCCACTTAATAGCAATAGAATTTTTTTTAAAATTTAACTTTTTTTTTTTATAACTTACTTCCCCAATTATATTGTAAAAACTGTTTCCCGCAAACTCGTTTTATATGAGTGGAGAGTGATATACTATTATGTACCAGGCATTGAATTAGGTACCTGGGTGATACAAATGGTTTAAAATTATCTACTAACCAAAACTGGCTCACAGTCATTCAGTGGTGCTACAGGAGAAAGGTCTGGTGACCTACTTCAGTAAAGACTTCAGCCAAGAAAACCCTACAAAGCTCAGTTCTACTCTGTATCAGTGGGGCTGCACCAAGAGTTGAAATCAACTTGACAGCAGCAGGTATTGTTTACCAGGCAATGAGGTGGTACTTTTGCTAGGCTTCTCACTGTATAATATGTCTAGTAGTCCACTGGAGTGCACAAAACACATGATTTTACAGATATTCTTGCTTAGGAAAAAGTTAAAATGAGTTGATTTAAATTAATCAATTGATTAAATCAATTAAATTATTATATATATAATGATGGTTCAAGTGCTACTTAGATAGCAAAAATAGTGGAAGGGTCCTTAAATGATTGAAACACAGATGTATATCACATTTATTCCTCACAACAACCTTATCAATTAGTAACTAAAGACAAGAAAAACCTTGGGACTTATTCTAATAAGCTAATAGGTTGTGATACAGGATTCAAATTCAGGTATTCAGGTCTCTCTAACTGAAGCTCTCCAAAACTTCTACCTTTACCATAATGCTCTTCTGTGTAAATAAAGATTTGGTTAAATTATTTGAGTGTGGAAGTCTGACTTGTGTTTTTATATAACTCATTACTTCAAAAGGATTTTCTTTCTAAATTAAATCCTTTACCTTCAGGGAGAAAAAGGGGTTCCGAAGTCAGCTTAGGGTGTTACTGAAGCACATTTATAAAACACACAAGGAAAAGGACCTTGCTGAGCAAAACGTTAATTCCTCACTTTGGCATCTCATACTACAGCTGTAATAAGGGCCGTTATGCCTAGATAGGCCCTTAAACGGAAGACCTGCTGAGCAGAGACACGCTTTCCCAGCCCTGCTCAACTGTGTCGTATTTTCTGCCAACTGACCAGGCGGAAGCAGCAGCAGGGGAGGAGGGACTGCAGGTAGGCGGGGAGGGGATCATTTTGAAAACCTTAAATCCCTTATAGGGTAGCAGCAGCTGCTCCTTGTTTTTTGAAACATCTGTCCCGCCTTCGGCCGCACTTCACCCTTTGGAGCCTCAAGCTAGTTAAACATGGATTCGACAAGGCAGCGTTTCTGACGGCTGGTTTGTGAGACAGAATTGAGTATTGTACCACCTAGAAAGTTCCTGCTATTGAGAGGAGCGGAGTTGGCGGGCTTAAGGAGGTCGGCCATCACCTTCCTTCATTTGTATCCCAAAACATCCTGCTTTCATTAAGTCAAGATTTAAGGATGCAGTGATCACTCAAAATAGTACGCCATGTGGATATTATTTCACAAAACAGAGGTATCTCTAGCGCCCTATTTTTCACTTTAATCTCCAGGGAGGCACAGGTTGTAGTTGCAGGGAAGAAATGATACTGCATAATCTACTCCATGTCTATCGCAGAACACACTGTGCACATCTCGCGTGTGTGGCGTTTATCACATTTAACAGCGTGTTACTTGTGTCTCACTCCCCTGCCAACACTGTGCTCCTTGAGGACAGGGACCTTATTTTTATTCAATTATTATTTTCCCTTAGCACTTAGGGTCTTGCCTGGCACCTAGCAGGCGTGAATCAGATATTTATGAATGAATGAACGTTAACAAAGAAAAATTAATGAAAGGAAGGCGGTAATTCATTTGGTTCTCTGAAAGTGAGCATGGGAGGTCTCGGACTCTGACCTAATCGCTGAAGGAATCCCAGTCCCAAAGGCCCACAACTCCGGCTCCCGCCACAGCAGACCAAGGTCGGTCTTCGGGTGCTCGCGCTAGGTCCCAAACGAAGCTGCGCACGCAGCTACGCCTCTTCATTGGGTCATTCCTTTTGCGAGGTCGGTTCCACTCTGGAGGGTAACGGGATTAGGGGTGGGGCCAGTAGAGCGCAGGCGCAGTGGGTGGCGGAAGTAGGAACTGGGGAAGGAAAAGAGGCTTGGCCCGGCTTCTGGAAGGGAGCTGCGCTCCTCTTCTTCTTCCTCCTCACCGGGAGCTCGAAAGGGCGCACGCGCAACTGAGCCGAGGCTCCTCCCCTCCCCGCCCCCTGCCCGTAAGCCGCTTCAGGGCTACTTGCTTGTCTGCCCGCCGAGATGGCACTCGACCCTGCAGGTATGGGTGCAGGGATCGGGCGTTATTGAGGGGCCTCGGGCGGGTTTCAACCTCAGACATGCCGACTCCGGGAAAGCCTGGAAAAGGTGTACAGCTGTGGCGGTTCCGCAGACGCCTCTCACCCCTGTTGATGACTTAGGGTTTCTGTCCGACCCTGGCTTCCTTGATTGGGGTCATAGGTCATCTTCGTGCGCCTAGAGGTTAGGGTTAGGTGAAGGGCGCTGGATTTGTGGTCTAAACACCCGTCTGTTTGTAAACATTCTCCTCCTTAAATCGGCACTCCCTTTCCTCTCTTTGGAACACTCTTTAAATATCTAATATTAGGAAAATTTGTATGTTCGTTGGGATGCACAATTTTATGTAGCTTTTAGGAGTTCACAGATCCCAAGTTCTTGACTTCATCCGATTTAAGAACAAAAAGTTCTGAGGATCTAGTCACTGTGGCAAGAAGTAGTTTCTTTGGAAAGGTTCCTTAAAGATGGATGTCACTTAATTTTCATGCTTCCACCCCACATCATTTGCAGCCATAGTTTCAGTTCCCCTCCTTCAGAATCTCACCTGCAGTATCTTAGCTTTAGGCTATTTATTTATTTATTTACATCCAGAGAGGAGTTCCTGGGTGACACAAAGGTTTAGCACTCAGCTGCTAACGGTATGGTTGGAGGTTGGAGTCCACCCTGAGGTGAAAGGCATGGTGATCTTCTCCCCTCCCCCCCCAAAAAAAATCAGCCATTGAAAATCCTATGGAGCACAGTTCTACTCTGACACACATGGGGTGCCGGTGAGTTGGGATCACTCCTTGGCAACTGGTTTCGTTTCTTGGTTATAGATAAAGAACTTCATTTTTGAAGGGAATGATAATGATCTAGTCCATTCCCTTCATTTTATGAACACCAAAATTCAAGATTTTAGGATGTGAAATGACTTCAGTCCTTTAGAAATTCAGAAATGAAAAAGACATTTTTATGCCCTCCTGGAGGATGAAAGCTATGTATAATGCACAGAAAGTACATTTATTGAACACTTTAACATCAAGCCCTTTTCTAAGTATTCTAAATTATCCAACAATAGCATGTGGTATGAGTCGGGCCGACTGGACAGCAAATAACAACAACAACAACAGTATGTGGTATGGTCAATACAGTTATCTCCATACAGTTTAGGAAGGAAACTCGGGCTCAGAGGAGTTAAGTTACTAGTCCAAGTTAAGTGGTAAAATTGGGACTCTAATTAGAAGCATAAAGGACTTGGCAGGAAGTAACACATTGATCATACTGATTTTAGGTGATTAGATCACCCTTTATGAAGCAGTTAGCAATTGATCTGAAAGAATTTCTAGTGTTTAGAGTTGGAGACCAAAATAAAACTAACTACACTGTTATCAAGTTGATTCTGACTCATGGTGACCCTGCAGGGCAAAGTAGAACTGCCCCATAGGGTTTCCAAGGCTGTAAATCTTTACAGAAGCAGACTGCCTCATCTTTCTCTGCAAAGTGGCTTGTGGGTTCAAACCTCTCTTTAGTTTAATAGCCAAATGCTTTAACCACTGCATCACCAGAGCACCTAGAGTTGAAAGTCAGCCTAATGAGCAAAGACGTAGACTTTAAAGTACACTGTGCTGTTTGGTTGCAGTGTGAATGCCTTGATTTTTTTTTGGTGGAGGTGGAAGGAGTGTACTTAAAGGGTGGATGAGGAAATGACCAGACTTTGTCTCACCTGCTTTGCTAATGTTGTCAGAAGGGACCGTTCTCTGGAGAAGAATGTCATGCTTCGTACAGTGGCGGGTCAGTGAAAGAAGGGAAGGCCCTCAACAAGATGGATTGACATGGTGGCTACAGCAATGGGGTCAGGTATAGTAGGGATCTTGAGGCTGGCACAGGACTGGGTAGCGTTTTGTTCTGTTGTACATAAGGGCGCTATGAGTTGGAGATGACTTAATGGCATATAACAATAACAAGGAAAGTTCGAGTTAGAAAGTAGGTGGAAATTGATATCATTCTGATATTTTTGACCTGGTTGACATTCAAAGTCATCTAATCTATTCCTTTACATATAGCTGAGGAACTAGTTTCAGAGTGGTTAAAGGCTTCTTACTTTCCAGACATCGCGATCTTGTTTGTTCAATGCTTCATAGCTAATTGCCATTAGAGCCAACTCTGGATAGAACACAAGTAATTTCTTTCCTAGTCCAGCATTACAGACAATACCTCCATTCAAGTATTCATTGAGTTAACAAATGCTTGTTGAATGCCCAGTATATGCCAAATATTGTTATAGGCCCTAGGAAACAGCAGTGTATATAGGACAGACAAGATCTGTAACTTTGGAGTTTTTAGTCCACCCACTGTTTTCTAGGGCTAATAATAATACCTGGCAGGTACTGGACAGTCACCATAAAGCTTGTATTCTAATGTAGAAGAAAGAAAACAAATATCCCTTCTCTCCGTTTATAGATTATGATAAACATTATGAAGAAATAAGCAGAGTTACATGGTAGATGGTGAAGACAGGGCTATTTTAGGTAGAGTGGTCAGTGAAAAGCTCTATGAAGAAGTATCATTTGGATTAGGATATGAAGGAGCAGAGGAAGCAGTCTTGTGAAGAGCCAAGGAAAGTGTATGGTAGGTAGTGGAAGTAGCAAATGCTTAAAATATTGAACTAGAATGAGCTCTGGTGTGAAGGAGATCCATAAAGGAAAGATGTTGTGAAAAAAGCTTGGAGCTAGATGCTACAGGGACTTGTGGGTGATGATAAAGCATTTAACTGTTTTCTGATGTTATCAAAAGCCCTTGGGGATTTAAAAGAGCAATGACATAATTTTTACCTTTAAAATACTACTCTGACTGCAGTGGTAGCACTGGTTGGTAGGGGGTCATGAGTAAAAACAAGGAGACAGGTTAAGAGACGGTAGCAGTCGTCCAGGCCTGTGGAGATGGAGAGGAATTTAAGAATTCATGTATTTTAGAGGAGACATTGATAGGACTTGCTGTTGCATTGGGTAAGGGTGGTAAGGTAGAGGGAGGAATTAAGGATAATTGGCAAAATTTTTACTTCAGCAGTTGATTGACTGGTAGTGGTCAAGTCCAACAACATGGAGATCATTGGAGAGTTTGACAAAAACAGATTGAAACGAGATTGATGTGGGTTAAGAATGGAAGGTAAGAAAGTGAAGACAGCAGGTGTGAAGACATTTTTCTAAACTGCCTTGTCCAAATTCAAGAATATAAATGTGTTGGAACTTTTTTTTTTTAAACTAATTTTTGTTTGGTTTGTAAGTTGCAGCTTAGGTTCACAGTTTAATATTTTACTGCTTTTTACAATCCACAATAGTATCTGTCCATATTGAGTAGATAAGTGTCTGGATAGTTATGCCAAATAAAACTTTTTAGAGCAAAATCTGTTTTTCCATTGATTTATATTGCAGTTTGAGAGCCACTCTGTGTAAGGAAGAAGGGGCAGTCTACTTCTGTAAAGATTTACCACCTCAGAAACCCAATGGGGGTCGCTGTGAGTCGGAATCAACTAGATGGCAGTGGGTTTAAATGTACAGATTTGATCTTCAGTTGGCAGCAGCCTTTAACGCTAATTTGTTGGGCCTCTTTTTTTTTAAGAGACTGTGCTTACAATGGAATACAGTTTATATACTTGTTCTTACCATTTTGGGCAGTGCAGTTTGTACGACTTTATTGCTCAAAGTTTGATTTAAACTATTTAATGTTGGGGTAGTCACAGTACTCTTGTGGGATCAGTCATAACTGTGTTCATTTTTTTTTTTTCTCTTACAATTTGAATGCAGAGTGAAAAAGCTGGAAATAGTCTGAGCCACCTTGGAACAATGGTTGTAGAGGGTGGTTACATTTTTTTAAAATGCTGATGCCAGGGCTGCACTCCCAGATATTCACATATGATAAGTCCTTTTTAAATACTTCACAGGCTCTTCTAATGTATGGAACCACTGTTGTTAATACGCCCAGCTTTCTCATTCTGAAAAATTTCTCAATTCATCACCCCATTCACAGAGAAAACTCTCCCTACAATTTGTTTTATTTTTCATACCTCTTTTCCATAGTCTTCTTTTTTAAAAAAATTTTTATTGTGATGTGGGTGCAAATTTATAATTTTCCCTAACCTTCTTGGTACCTTAGTAGAGGACACAATGGTTGGTAGTAATAAACTTATTCCATTGATGGATCCTGGGTCTCCCCAGTTTCTAGTCCCTTTTACCAGAAACCCTTTGTATTCAGATGGAACTAAGATGGGAGCATTTCAGTCTCTTATGGAGCTCCAGTAATGGCTTGGCTCTGACTCAGGGCCGCTCAGGGTCCACCACTTTGCTTGCTCTTATTTTTCCCATTCTCTTACCTAGCTGTCCAATGGAACTTTCTGCAGTGATAGAAATTTTCTGTATCTGCACTGTCTGTTGCTGTTCAGGACTTCAAACATAACTAGTACAACTGAGGATCTAAATTTGCTTAATTTTAAGTGGCAACATGTAGCTAGTGCCTACCACATTGGACGGTACAATTTGTAAGGTGTTGCTTCTCAAAATATGGTCCACAGACTAACAGCATCAGCATAACCTTCGAACTTGACTCCCTGCAACTTTAAGTCATAAATGGAACCTCTGATCTCATAATAATGATTGAGAAATACTATATGATGGGAGCTCTGGTAGTTTAGTGCCTAAGGCACTTGACTGCTAACCAGAATGCTGGTGGTTCCAACCCACCAGCTACTCCTCAGAAGGAAGATGAGGCAATCTACTTCATAGTGATACTGCCTCAGAAACCCAAGGAGGGGTCGCTATGATCAGGTCTGACTCGATGGCACATAACAACAACAACAACATACGTGTAGATACAGTGTAGATCATTCTTCAATAATAGAGTGTAAGCATTGTTAGTTAATTCTAAGTTACAGCTTCTTTGGCAATTTATAACCCTTCTACAAGTGTTGTAGTACACCATGTGATGGTTAATGTTGTGTGTCCACTTGGCTAG